TTTTGAAAAAATTTTTTTTTGAAAAAAGATTTTTCTAAAAAAATTTTTTCAATAACATTTTCTGAAAAAAAAGTTCAAACAATTTTTTTTCAAAAAAGATTTTTCTAAAAAGAATTTTTCTAAAAAAATGTCTGAAACTTTTTTTTAAGAAAAATGTTTAGAAAAAAATTTTTTTTTTCAGAATTTTTTTTTTTTAGAAATGTTTAAGACAAAAAAATTTGTCAGTGGCGCTTTAGCCCAGAGCCAATGTCTCTGTCATTGGGGTGGAACGCCAGGGTTAACCTCCTGGGCAAGTTTGAATCTCGGTTAGGGCGGTTGGTACCTTCCAGTGGAATATGAATATTTCAGAAATCACCCAAAACACGCCTTACTATAGCCTTACCATCGTGAAAAAATCCATGAAAAAAAAACTCCACGAAATGCCTTAAAATGCAAAAATGGTCCTAAAACATGCTGCCAAGTGATTATTTTGTGTTTTAAACTCCAAAAAGTATTTTATATGAATATTTTAAAAATCACCCAAAACGCCTTAAAAATAAAAAGTCCCAGAAGATTAGAGAAGATTTTTAGAATTTTTTTGTATCAAAGTTTTGCAAAAAGGAAACTTTTCATGTCATTTTTGGTCAAAAACTAAAACATTTTGATGAATTCTGTAATATACGTTTTTAAAAATGTAATCTTTTCCTGCATGTTTCTCATAAAATTAGGGCATGTAGAGAACATTTTTAGAAATTTATTTTAATAAAATGTTCAGTCAAAATGTAAACTTATTGTGTCTTTTTTGATCAAAAAATAAAAACAATCTGACATTTTTTTTGTAAAATTATTTTTTTAAATGTTATCATTATTATCAAACATGCATGTTTCTCATAAAATTAGGGCATTTAGAGAACATTTTTAGATTTTTTTTTTAAATAAGACGTCCTGTCAAAATGTGAACTTTTTGTGTCTTTGTAAAAGTTTTTGAAAAATTATTTTTCAAAATTGTATCTTTTTCTGCATGTTTTTCATCAAATTAGGGCCTGTAGTATTTAAGATAATAAGCTTAAAGCTACTTATTTTTAGGCTTTTTAGATTTATTTTTATTCTTCCTTTTATTTTTTAGTCAAAGATTAAGATAAACAGACCCAAAGTAGAAAAATAATGTCACCCTACCTCTGGTTTTTGCTGCCTTCTTCAAACTTTCCATCACCGATGTTTTAATGGTGTCCAATAAAAAACGGGGCTCAAGTCCTGGATACAGGGACCTAGAAACAACAACAAAAATAAATAAAGAATCATTAACAATAACTTTTACAAATACAGATGCTTCATCAACACAGCAAATTAAATCTACATACAACAATTGAAGCTCCTGTCAAGGAGTCAACTGTGTATCTGTGGATCATATATTGATCCGTTTTGTAGCTGTTGTCACTTTTTGGAAAATAAGTATTCAAAAAACAAACCTCACTAAAATTCAATCACTAAAAAAACCTTAGTTAAAATTCTATTTTTCTACAGTTTGTTGATCAGGCAGTTAAAAAGAAGGACCACATGCTTCCAAAATATGCCTAAAAAGCTTTTAGAAAATAACAATTGTAAAATATTTATCTTATTTACATTGTGTGATATATTTTTTTTAATATCCAGGGAGAGCATCATATTATTGAATGTCAACATTGATACCTGGGGTATTCCTCAGATGCAATGTAAATGGCATCCTTATCACTGACAGAAGAGGAAAATGTGGTGAATGTTTCATCTTGTCGCGGCAGAAGCTCTAGTCCAATGAGATCGCTGTAATTTCCATCGCTCAGCACAAACTCCAGCAGCAGCAGCTTCTCCTTGCAGGGACCTTTGTGTTTGCACTTTCTGATCACCTGCCGCAGCAAAGACGGGCTCACTTTCTTCACGTCAGTGCTCTCAGTCATGTAGGCA